GTCTCCTTCTCCCCTTTGTCTCATGCATGTATGGGCGTGTGTGAGTTCTTCTGAGTGAGAGTGGCAATCAAATTGTCAGACAACCAAGTTCATAAAAGACCAACAGGTTGTACTTCCAATGACAGTCTAAACTGATCTGTGACCTCCCGCTGATGGGGTCACTTACCAATTCCCAACTCTGCGTAGGACTCCTTTCAGGCGCAGGGACTGACAGCAGTGATTGACACCCAACCGCATATGGACAACCTTGATCAGCGAATATCTTCCCACAAAAAAATATTTATTTGTTAGAAAAAACAAATAAAATAAAAGTGGAATACTCAGAATACCGTTCACACTCGTTGCTCTAATCAAGATTGGAATATGCCATTCGACTAAGGACCTTACATCTGACGTAGGAAGAAGTCAATATTAATGGACTGACACTTTTTTGACTGCATATAGTAATTGCCAACAGACAGGACTGACTGACAGACCAAAACAGGCGCCTGAAACAGACAGGTAGGCACTTGCAGTATTGGCAGGCAATCACATCAAGTCAGGGTAGGTCAAAGCAATTCCATTATGAGATTAAAACAAACTTAGAGATGGGTCAAAAACAGCCAAAACGTTAACTGACAACCGAGCTGATCTAGACTGCAAATGGACTGACGACTGACAGTCACTAACAGACACAGATAGGGTCCGACGTCGGATCACAAAATATATGAGCGAAACCTGATTGAAGATATCTGGGCGGTCAAACATTGACTGCCAATCAGCAGCAGAATATCGTAGAACCAGGCTGACGCTGACGTAGGACCTGCAGCGAAGATTCCCACAGTCTTCCAATCAAGTAACTCGTCGAAGTAACTGCAGCAGCGGCCTAGACGGTCGAACACACCATCAACAGTCACGGGTTGTAACTTGAGGGTCACAAGGCCCTCAGGTCAACCAGTCCACTTAGGGTTGATGCAGCCTTCAGCTCCATTCTCGTTGGCTGAAACTTCCAAAGAACGTTCCACCACTCCACATCCTTCTTTTTTTTTTTTTTTTCTTTATAGCGGTAGTTCTCCCCTCGCACACTACCTTCCACCACCTCTCACCAACGACATCCGTTGAAGAAAGCGGACAACAAGTCCCTACTCCAACCGCCGCTCAGAAAGGAGGTTGCCACTCAATTGTTCGCCGGTTGCACACGGTCACAGCTCCTATACCAACTGTTATGTGCCTGATTGAACTTCAATCCACAACGAATTCACACGTTCCCATACACGCATGCAATTGCAGAGTAGACTCGAAGGACGTAAATCCACACAAAACCGGAGAGAAGATATGCACAGCGGAAGCTCAAAACAACAAGTCCCTACTCCTACCGCCGCTCAGAAAGGAGGTTGCCACTCAATTGTTCGCCGGTTGCACACGGTCGCAGCTCCGATACAAACTGTTATGTGCCCAATTGAACTTCAATCCACAATGAATTCACACGTACGCATACACACATGCAATTGCAGAGTAGACTCGAAGGACGCAAATCCACACAAAACCGGAGAGAAGATATGCACAGCGGAAGCTCAAAATACACAGAGAATTGAAAAACGAATTTCAATTCTGCAATCCCTCGTCCTCCTCCAATCAATCCAGAGTACTTGTTCCAAGAATCACAACCGCGTTTACAACAATCCCGAACAACCAGAAACAAGTTCAACGAAGTATGCAGGAGTCTTCTTCTTCCTCCTCGCCGCCTCACACCCCTGGCTATGGCTGCCATAGCAGCAGTAACCCCACAACTGTTACAACGTGCCAATCTGAACTAGCAACCCTAATGATAACAGCGCCAACTCAGCACCCGCATGGAAGTGCAGCGCTGAAAGTCCTGATGAAGAAGGAGACAACCAATCCAGCACTTCGAAGAAGACAAAGTTCCTCGAGAGGAGTAACAGCAGATATGGCTGCCAAGTTGAAGATGGCAGCACCCAAACCCAGCAACACAGCCCTGTGGAAGCTCTCATGCAGAGCTGCGAAATAGCAGCAGTGCGATCTTTAACTTCGCTTCCCAACCCCAACTATGGCTGGGCTTCGAGGAAGAAGATGACCTCGCCCAAAATAGAGCAGCAGCGCTCCGGCAACGGATGGGCAGAGTTTCCCCAGCCAACAAAACGTGAAAAGACCCAAACCAAATTTCCTGCCCGCTACTTCTACCCTCTGCCTAGACCTACGACGGACTCCAAAGGCAACAACCCAATACTCATCTGCATCTAGACGGAAACAGGGGGAAAAGGGGAAAATGGCCTAAGGCTACCAAAAAGAGACTGCTAGTGACAGACTGTTACATGCAGCGCGTGCACACACGGGCCATTTTGCAGGCCCGACGACCATTTTGCAGGCTCGACGGTTTTCAGGCCAAAAGCCTGAATTTCAGGCCGAAAGCCTGAAATCCAGGGCTTATAGGCCCCATGTTGGTTCAGGCCGAAAGCCTGACTTTCAGGGCCTACAGCCCCTGCGACGGTTCAGACTAAAAATGGTAATAGCATTTTTAGCCTGAACCCAAGGGCTATTTTCGGTCGTTCATCAGAACGACCGGCCCTGAAACTCAGGCACCGAACCAGGGTTTTGGGGAACAGCCTATATATAGACTGTTCCTACGCCAGCCTCAGCAGGCTGCTGCACGCCAGCCCCTGGCACACTTCGGCATTGGCAAGAGCTGCCTCCTCGGCCTGCTCGCCCTCCTGCAGTCAGGAGGCAGGCCGAGGAAGTACTTAGGGACTTCCCAGGCACTTCATGGGTAGGCAGTCGGTCAGTTGTAGTCTTCAGGATTCGGGAGCAGCACTCTGGAGGGAGCGCTGCAGTGTAGTRGTAGTAGCGTTAGCTTGTAGTCTTCAGCGCTGGGCGCAGTAGGTAGCTGTAGTCTCCAGCGCTGGGCGCCATAGCTAGGTAGTACTAGAGAGAGAGAGAGAGAGCTTGGGCGGAGGCCAG